AGGCCCCCCCTGCCTTTTGGCAGCCCTTAGACTCTGGTGACCCCCCAGTGGTTGTGGGTGCTCTGTCTCCTCCCTGGCCTTCTGAACACAGGCCTCTCCTGCAGTTTGGCCATAGCCACAGCCCCTAGGCTTGGGGACCGCCTCCCAGTGCTTCGCAGCCCTCTCTAAGCAGTTGACAGAGTCAGCCTCTTGCCCCCAACCATCTGGGTCCTCATTTGACCCACCTCGGAAGGACGGAAGGCTGAGTCAACCTTGAGCCAGGTGACGTTCGAACTGCCGGTAGCCGACAACCAGCAGAATTAGCCTGTGCAATTCGGCCTTCTAAGCACGGCGCCACCACAGCTCTCCATTCGGTGGGCCTTGTCTGAAGGGGAGAGTTGGAAATATTTGGGTGGGGGGTTATTAACGCACTTGGGGTGGGGGGGTGTTTGTACCCCCACCCAAAATCCATTAGGGTGGTCCTTTTTATGCTCAGACCCTGCCAGGTTGGAGGCTCTGCTCCCCTTTTGCCAGGAAGTGGCCAGCCCAGAAGGGTGCTGGGGGTTCATGCCTGATGGGGAGACAGGCCGAGAGGGCCACCCTGTGCCAATCCAGCCAGCCTCCCGGTTGCAGCAGCAGAGAGGCCCCCACGAGGGCCCCACCACCACCCTCTGGTGGGATCTCTGAAGCCGGCGCTCCCCAGGGAACAGGGCCTCCGGTGGGCAGGAGCGGAGGCTGGTCTGCGCGGGACTCCAGGCTGCTTCCGTGTTGCCTTTCTGGGCCGCAGCCTCTCCCTCCGCAGGCATGACTCAGGAGTGCCCTCCCCTGCCTCCCCCCTCCCCTCCCCTCCCGTTGAACTCCTGGTGTCAGGAGCAGCCCCTGCGGCCCTGTGAGTCTGCTGGGAGGGAGGGGCGGTCTGGCTCCACGGGGCTGCCTTGGGGGGGGAGGGGGCCCACCTGCCTGGGCCCAGCCCTACGGTTACAAGGGCGGGGGGGGGGGGGGGTGGAATGACCTCCCTCCTACTGAGATGGCTGGGCTGAGGACGGGGGGAGGGGGAGAGGTCAGGTGGGGGGGAGGCAAAGCAGGGGGGCTTGTGAGTGACAGAGCCTCACCCCCCCCCAGGACAGACAGGGCCCAGCCTTTGTGGGTGATGCGGGGTGTGTCGGCTGGCCCCTCCCTCTGCCCGGGGCTGCTCCCTGCTGGCCAGGGCACCCTGGCAGATGTCTGCAGGGCGCAATGCCAGGGAGCCCAGAAGGTCTCCCAAAAGATCCACAGAGACAGCCAGCGAGAAGCAGCCGAAGAGCATTCAGGGTTGACATGCGCCCCCCCCCCTTCCCCTGGAGCCCTCCGGCCAAGAGCCCCAGGAGAGGAAGCCCCTGGCACCCAGGGCCTCGGCAGGAGAAGGGAGCCCACAGGAAGAACGGCAGAGGACGGAGCCAGGCAGGGGGCAGCTGGAGGCCATTCCCAGACGGCCCCGAGTGAGTCATGGTGCTCCCGCCCCCCCCAGACGGGATCCGCTGGGGCGGCCTGGTGGAAACTCCATTCAAGCCCAGGCACAGCCACCTTTTCCTGGATTGGCTCAGCCCACGGAGTCCTCTCTTCTTTTATTTATTAGACAATAAAGGCCCACCCGTGACCCTGGGTGTGTGTGCAATATGAAGAACCTCAAAGGGACTCCGCTAGAGCCGGCGGAAAGGAGGCCGAGGTGGGGTGGGGTGGGGCTACGAAGAGAGGAGCTCAGGAGGCCAGGCCAAGGCCAAGGGGGTCTCCCAGGGCTGGTGCCCCAAACTGCAGTTTCCTCCCCCTCCAGGGAGGGCGGGGAGGGGGAGAAGCAGCAGCAGCTGGACCCTGTTCTGCTGGGAATTTGCCTTCTCCCCCACATTTCCTCCTGTCCTCCTGTTCCCAGATGGGCCTGGGAACCCGGCGGTCGCTGGATGGCTCACTGTCGGCTGGGACTGGTGACCACTTAGCTTGGAATGTCCTCTCGCTGGCCACTCGCCCCTGCCCCCCCCCCCTCGCTCAAAGGAGCTACGTGCTGACCACGCGGGGGCTCTGGGTGGAAACGGTGCCTCCAGGCTGCCCCCTTCCGCTCCCGCCCGCCATCGCCCCAGGGTGCCCAGATGCCCGGACTCCTCTCTGGGACGGGCACGGTGCCAGCAACGCAGAGCAGCGCACACGGAGGGCTCCCGGTAGTGCCCTGTTCCTGACCCTGCCTTGCCTGGGCCAGCGGGGGGCTTCCCCGCTTACTGGCCCGCGTTCCCCTTCCCGCCCCCGGGTTTGGGAGATTCCAAGCGTTCAGGAATGATGACGACGACCGCGGCCAAGAGGAGACTGGGTTCATCCCAGCCCAGCAGGGGGAAATCCGCCCCCGCAGCAGCAGCCGCCACTTCAGGCTGCATCATCCCAAGTCGGCTGATTGGCAGCAGGGCTTGAAATGGTGCCCAAAGGAGATTGCAAAACAGGCGGGGGGGGAGGGGGGGGCCCCTTCCCTGAATCCTCGCGCCCAGGAGGAAACCCGCAGGCTTGGGGGTCTTCCTGCCCTCTAAAGCCTCCGTGGAGAGGACTCTGACATACTGTCTGGGTGTGTGGTATGCGGGCCCCACAGCTGAGGACAGGAAACCTGTACAGAGGGTGATAAACACAGCCCAAAAGCTCACTGGTTGCCCTCTGCCCTCGCCAGGTCTCGCTGCCAAAGCAGAATCAAGGCCATCCTAGAAGCCCCCTCCCACCCTGGCAATGATCTTTTTGACCTGCTGCCGTCTGGACGGGCGCTTTAGGTCAATAAAACCCCCCACCACTAGACTAACAAATAGATCCTTTCCCTGGGCCATCCGAACCGCAAACAAGCACAAAGTCCCTCCTTTATGAAGATGTGAAAAGATGTGAAATCTCCATAGCCCATTCAGATGTGTAATAACATATTACAGTACAATCCATCCCTTGTGTACGACACTCGGCCAAGCATCACAGTCAGTGTTGGAGGTATATTTTGTGTATATTCGTAGATATTGTCCTCTCAAATTGCAAATGGAGATGTGGGTACTCTATTTTTTTTTAATCTTCATTTTGAAGTGATTTTGTTTTTACTGTATTGGGAACAGTTGCTGGGGTGCATCCAGAGTTTCGTTGTACTTGTCCAATGACAATAAAGTTCTTCCAAATTCTAAATTCCTTGCAGCCCGGGGAAGAAGCCTCGGACCGGGTCCTCTGACACCCACCCGGACAAGAGTCCACTTCGGGCCAGGCGCCAGGCAAGGCTGCCCCACCGCCTGCAATAGAGCTCCCCCCCCCCCCCCCCACCCCCCCCCCCCCCCCCCCCCCCCCCCGTTGCCCTCCTCCCGTCCTTCTCGGCTTGGAGCGACTCGAAGCGGGCGCTCCAGCTGCCTCCCGGTGGGCGCAGCCCAGAGGGGACCGGGCCAGCCTTAGCGCCCCGTGAAGAGGCAGCCCAGGATCGCCTCGGCCGTTCCGGTAGCTGCAGCGGCCAGATCCCTCCCGGGCCCTCCCTGCCCGTCCCGCTGCGCCCGACCAGGCTGCGTGCCAAGCCATTTCGGCCGCGCAAGCCCCGGGAACTTCCTTCCCCCGGGAGAAGGCTGCAGGGGCCCCACGGAAGCCCCCCCCCCCCCCCGTCCGCTAAGAGGGCCCCCGAGGGCGGCGGAGGCTGGGATGCTCGGGGTGGCGGCCTCGCGGAGGGGGCGGCCTCGCTCGGCCGGCGCTTAGCCCGGCGGGGGCGGCAGGAGGGGCGGTGCCCGCCGCTGACTTCATCCCGGCTTCCTGGCAGGCGGGCGCAGCGCCTATAAAGCCAAGCGCGGGGCGGCCGGGACCGCACCGGCCCCGAGCCCAGGAGCCGCCAAGGGAGCCGAGTAAGCAACTGGGGGCGCGCCGGCGGAGGGGCTCCCCGCCTTTGCCAGCCCAACGGCCGGCCGGCCGGTCGGTCGGTCAGACCAGGCGGCGGAGGGGCCGCTCCTCCTGCTCAGAGGACGGGGCTGGGTGGGGTGGGGGGGTCTCGGCAGGCGGGCTGGGGAGAAGAGGCGCCCCGCGAACAGCTTGCCCGGCCGGGACCGATGGAGCCGCTTCACCTTCTTCCTCTCTCGGCAGGATGGAGCTGTGGTCTCACCTGTGCGTGTGGTCCCACCTGTGCCTCCTGGCGCTTTCGCAAGCCGCCGCCGCCGCCGGCGGCCCCCCTTCTGGCCGCCCAGTGGCCCGGGTGGCCCAGCTCACCGCGGACTTCGGGCTCCGGCTGTTCCGGGAAGTGTCCAAGGCGTCCAAAGAGCAGAACCTGGCCTTCTCCCCGCACGGCGCGGCGTCGGTGGTGGCCATGCTGCAGGTGGCCTCGGAGGGAAGCACCCGGCGGCAGATCCAGGAGGCCCTGGGCTTCAGCCTGAAAGGTGAGGGAGGGGCGTGGAGACCCCCTGCTTGGGGGAGGGGAGGGGCTGGCCCTTCACTCTCTTCTGGCTCTGCTCTTTGGGGAAAGGGGGGGGGAGGGCAGCCTAGTTGGGCGCCTGACCCCTTAGCCTGGGCAGGCCCAGGTGGGTCCAACCGGGAGGAGCCCAGGAAGGCTGCGGGGCTGTTGGAAGGGAAGGGCCAGGGCAGACTCTGGGCAGGAAAGGCCCCGCCTCGCCCTCCTGCAGGCCAGCTCTGCCCTCCTGGAGGGTCCCTGGTGGGGGAGGGGAGGGCCTGGCTGTGGGCTGCAGCAGAGCTGAGCATGCTCTCCCCTCCCCCCCTCCAGAACGGGGCATCCCTGGAGCCCTGCGGCTGCTGCAGAAGACCCTGAGCGACCCCCAGGGCAAGGACGTGGTGCGGGTGGCGGAGGCCCTTTTTGTGCAGCGGGACCTGCCCCTGGTGCCCACCTTTCTGCGGCGCTTCCGACGCCTGTTTCACCAGACGGTCAAGCAGGTGGACTTCACCGAGAGCAGCCGGGCACGCGGCATCGTCAACGCCTGGGTGGAGCAGCACACCAACGGTGAGGGGCAGCCGGGAGGAGCCTCGCGAAAGGAGGCAGGCTCTGCCCTGGGTCCCCAGGCTGGCAAAGGCAGGCGGGGTGCGGGGTTCAGGCCTGGACTTCCGCTGACGGGTCTCGAACCCTGGAAGCAGAACTTGCCCCGCCCCCCCCCCCCCCCCCGGTCTCCCCACTGACCGGCTCTGCTTCCGCAGGGATGATCCAGGGCTTCCTGCCGGAGGGCGCACTGGATGCCATGACGCGCCTGGTGCTGGTTAACGCCATCCACTTCAAAGGCCTCTGGCAACTTCCCTTTCCGGAGGCCGCCACTCGCCAGCGGATCTTCCACAAGCTGGGTGGCAGCACCGTCGCCGTCCCCATGATGGAGCAGACGGCCGAATTCCACTACGGTGAGGAAGCCCCTCTGTGGAGGGGTGGGGGTGGGGCAGTTTGGGCTCTTGGGCCTGAGCCAGGCCGAGGGAGCTTCTCTGAGCATGTGCAGAGCGCGCCTCTGGTCGCATCTGGGGTCCGGGCGCACAGGGTCTCAACCCCCCCCCCCTTCTCTTCCAGGCGAATTCTCCACCCCGGAGCTGGGGGAATACGACGTCATCGAACTGCCCTACCAGGGGGCGACACTGAGCATGCTCATTGCCAGCCCCTTCCAGCTGGACACCCCCCTCTCGGCCCTGGCAGCGGCTATCGGTCCCCATCTCATCGCAGAGTGGAAGGGCAACATGTCCGCCGTGACCCGGCTCCTCGTCTTGCCCAAGTAGGCGTCGCTCGGGACTGGCTCGAGGCACCAACCCCACGGAGGCCCTTCGGCCCGTTGCTGACCCTTCCTTCCCTGCAGGTTTTCCCTGGAGAGCGAAGTCGACCTCCGTGGGCCACTGGAGGCCCTGGGCATGACGGACATGTTTGACTGCCACAAGGCCAACTTCAGCCGCCTCTCAGGTTGGCGTCTCCCCTCTATGCCACCCTTGGCTTGTCATCCCCCAGGCTGGGCACCGGCTGCGTGCTGGCTGGCTGCGGGAAGCCTGGCGAGGCTGAGGCCCAAGCCCAGGAGGAGGAGGAGGAGGAGGAGGAGGAGGGGGAGGAGG